CCCTAGTAACTTAATATGACATCACGCCTTTCAATCCCCGAATGGGTTAGGGGTACCACCCACATTTCACTATTTATGTTAGGTGTCCCATGTAACATGAGGTGAGCTTATTGCCCTAGATAGTAATGTGTTATGTTATTCTCTTACTCTTGTGGCTGAGCAGATACTGATCCTTTTACGACCTAAATTAAATTAATAATTCCTACAATTCAAAACCAACATATTAAATTGAGATCTAAATAGGCATTAGTTTTACACAAAAGAAAATGGTGGAATCCAGATTTTGAATTAAGAAAAATAGTAAACATTGATTATATTCAGTTCGGCCATTTTATTATAAGTATTTTGTGAATTAGTATCCTACAATGATTTAACAGCCAGAAATAGTTATGATTGGAAACTTCTAATCAAGAATGTGTACCTACGAATCTATAAAATTATCTAAATCTAATAAATATCTACATCTATAGATATATTTTGCTATTTGTCATAAAAGGAAATAGGTACGTTCCTAGCCAACGTAGATAGGTATGTTTTTCCAAATACCTAATCGGATTGGTCTTTACAGGCTTGAACATAAATTATCGTGCATATCAAAGTGTTCATTAATGTTAATCATGCTTTACAGGCATGTTTCGTTGTTAACGCCTCTTGTTTTTGTTATTCACACACTACTGTAGGTACTATTATTTATTGTTCTTCCTTAAAATGTTCTCTGTTAATATATTAAAAACTAGCTTCTGCCCGCGACTTCGTACGCGCAATCCCATTTTGCCCCAGTTCCCGTTCGTGATTTTCGGTAAAAAGTAAAAAAAAGTATTCTATAAAAAGTATCCTATGTCCGTCTCCTGGTGCTAAGCTACGTCCCCACCAATTTTCATCTAAATCGATTGAGGCGTTCTTGAGTTATAAATAGTGTAACTAACACGACTTTCTTTTATATATATAGATTGACAATTAGGTACATAGACATTATAGACAAGTGGAAATAGTTAACGAATGCAAAATCTGTTCTGGTGCCGGAGAATCTTTCAAATGTCTTATTACGCTAACGTAATGCGTAAACGTAATTATAATAACTCGGCAGACTCTAAAGTCTGGCTAGTTATTATAATTTTTAAGGATACTCTATCACTACATAGTATAAAACAAAGTAGCTATCCGCCGTCTGTCTGTCCCTATGTAGGCTTAGATCTTTAAAACTACGCAACGGATTTTGATGCGGTTTTTTCAATGAATAAAGTGGTTCTTAACGAAGGTTTATATATATAACACATGCATATTGTACCCGTGCGAAGCCGGGGCGGATCTCTAGTAACATATAAATCGACTTCTGTTACCTAATATACTTACAGTAACGAACAATTAGCTAGCATTTATAAAAGTTACTCGGAGCTGCGGAATCTTGCGGGTAACCGGAACTCCGGCTTAAACCAGGAGTAGCAACGGAGTGGTTTTTAGTCAGTAAGATTCTGACACACTCTCCATCGCCTCACCCAAGGTGGGAGTGGTAATTCGATGATATTGCCCCCTCAAAAATAAAAGCATTAATAACAGTCAATTTGCCAATTTTGCTTCTAAGTTAACAGTTGTACCAGAATCTTTTAAAACTAAAATATTTAAACTTCCTTGCCAAATAGGCCGTTTTAATTACAACGTATACAAATTAATGATACGGAAGCAAAGGTTAGGACATAATAATGTGATTCATCAACAATATTACGTTTAAGGCGGAATGAATAGCTGTCTAGAGTATTGTGACCATAATGTCCAAGGATAATTGGTGGCGCAAGGATCGAATAAGATATTCACATTTTATTATGTCATTGTTATTTATGCATTATCATAATAAGGTCATCATTTAATGGATGCGTGCCTACGTTTGTGGATATAGCGCACTTACCTACGAGTAGCTTGTTTCGTGTGAATTGCATTAATAGTGAACAGTATTTGAATAAGTGACAATACCTATAAAATTAACAGTGTGCAGGTAAAACAAAATAATTTATGTATTGGCTATGTATTATTTAGAAAGATATTACTTAAATAGTCGTACAGTTTTTTTTTTATTGTCTTTTTATTCATAAGTAGGTACTGAACTTCCTATTGCCTTAAAGCCTATTGTTCAGTTTGTAATTGTAACGTCCTATGTACAAGACAGGAAGAAAAAGCATAATTAACAAACTCATAAAGAAATTACATTACCATGCTAAATGGCCGGAAAGACACTTGCTACTCTTCTAGTATTAGATACGGGAATCCATAAGTGGCGACGCATGATTGCTTACCACCAGGTAATCCGTCTGCTCGTTTGCTACCCTAGGCATATCGAAATATTTACCTGTATGTGTTAAAGTTAATAGATATGTTTCAAATACTTACCAATTTAAATCACTATGACCTAGGTATTATTAAGTACCTACCTACTTAAAATTAATCACAAAATCTCCCATTTCTGGAGTCATTGGTCTTCGAAAAAACCTTTATTCTTGTAGGCGTCGAGTTAAACAAATTAGACTAATACTTTTGCTTAAACACTTAGGTACTCAAAATCCCTAATTTGTGTTTCATAGCGACATCTATTATGTTCAACATAGAAACACACGATTTATCGTGTTAATAGGTAGGTACTTACGTGTGCCTGATTGCCTATTTGATAGGTAAATAGTAAAATAGGTATCAACTATCCAGCTATCAAAATTCCTAGCGAAAAAGCAGTACCTACGAAAGTTAATCTATGATAGCGAATAATTAATAAATATCAAGTTGACAGTATCTTAGGAATGTCACAAAGCTCATGACTAACAAGTTTTATAAATCTCAAGTAGGTAAGATATTAGTCATTATAGGTAAGTTATTAAAAAAACAATAACAAATGTGTAAATCACTTACCTCTTTTTTTCAGTACTTATATGCAACATTTTCTTTATTTAGGTACTTCAATCCCGACAACACGCTCCACCTAAGTTCCTCTTCAAATCGCCGATAATCTAAAAGAAATCAAAATAAAACTGTAATTATCATGTAACCTTATAATAGAAGAAAAGAGACTCGCCTCCGAGACCCTTTCGGTTTTATCTCATTCTCAAATTAGTCTGTTAGGTTTTTTTTAAGGGGGAAAATCATCGAATGACTGCTCCCGCCTGGGTGAGGTGGGAGGGAGTGTCAGACTCTTGCTGACTAAAAACCACCCCGTTCCTTCTCCTGCACGTCGAGCCGGAGCCCCGGTTACCCGTTAGGTTCTCCGCGACAGTCTGTTAGGTTAGGGTTATAGGAAATACTCGTGTCATCTAGATGAATCTTATAATAATGACGTTTTACTTAGCATGTTGCTGTTTTGTAGCCTGTTACATTCATAGATATAGTCTGTTTTTAATATTTATATGGGAATATTATTTCATTTGAATGTAAAATGG